TAGATTCATAAGCTCCGAATCCATACTGTGCATTGTAGCAGAAAGCTTGAACACTCAAGCCATTGTGTAGTTTCTCTGGAGATGTCAAGTGCAAACCATTAGTAGTAGTTGTCATCTGGCTTGAGTCAGGGTGTGTTAGAAATGTTTCCACCAGTTTTTATATCCTTGATCTGTCTCCAAGGATAGTAGAACCAAAGAAATCTATACACGGGAGAAAGGAAGCGAGCATGGGGTTGGGTGGTGCCTTCTCTGTAAGTTTAATAACCAAGAATCTTTACAGAGGATAGAGATTTTTCTCCCTTCTCATTCATGAGCCCTGTGCTTCCTTGTAACACTGTACTTGAGAGAGCTGGGATTTCCCATCCCCCATCCAGTTTGTGAGATAGTTTTATCATTCAGGTATAATTTTCCAGGGAAATAGTAGCTTATAAGTATCCAGAAGTTAGTTTATTGACTCTTATTGCACTTCTGAGTACCCAATAAATAATTTATTAGTCTGATGGATATGTGGCTACCTAACTATGGGGCATGAAATATGCACCGTTTTTCTAATACACTGTAGGGAGACCTGTTTATAAAGTATTTAGTATTGGTTTTATAATGCACTGTTGACAACAGGAGACCACGAAGCTCAAAGATCAATCTCATTTTGGCCCACAGTATTAATGCTGCTTTATAAAGCTTTGTGTCAGGTCACTTAGACAGTGGTCCTCACAGAAAGGACTCTGTTAGGAAGGCACACTGTAGTGGCTGCCAGTGCAGCAGATGAATGTCTTTGTCCTACATCCCCTGCGGTGACTCTTTGGGGGCTGCTGATGTTGACCAGGTGATGGACCCCCATCATTTCCCTATTCTCTAGAGGTATTCTGGACTAAAAGTGCTGAGTTCTATTAATGCAGCCTTTGAGAGTTGGTGTGACTCTGGACCATAGTTACAGTCTTGGGGGTTGGAATCAGACAGTAAGGAGAGCAACTCAACTCTTCTCAGCTTTAGCTTGTTTGTTAGTGAGTTGATATTCTTCCACATCTCCTGGTCCTTCATTGAAATCACATATGTAACATAGCATGAAGTATCTTGATCTTCATTTGCTTTGGGGAATTTCCCTAGCCAATAATAAGTTCACAGACATTGAAAAAACTGCATAGTAAACACTTAGAATTTGGGTATGCCTAAATAAAGATGAAATAATTTCATCCAAAATCAATGCCGTGTCTTAATTTTCTTTATGAGAACTACTTGCCATGGGTGCGCTGTGTAATACCCATCGTAATGGTTTACGACGTGCTGTTGCCCATTAGGATGTATGTTTTGGAGCAATGCTTTTTTCTCTTTGCATGTAAGAACTCCTTGCCAGTTCCCAAACTGGGAAGTCTGAATCACACTGTCTCAGACACAGGCTCTTGCTTGTGACTTGACACGCTTGTTTGGAAACCAAGGCTGAATCCTTTCTGCTTTCTATCATTTCTTTTATTTAACATTTCTCATTGATTCTGAATTTCATTTTACCCTTTCCAAACCTTTTCTCCATTCTTTTTTTTGGGGGGGGAGCGGCGGGGGTGAGGGACAAAGATTGAATTCAGAGTTACTCAACCACTGAGCCACATTCCCATCCCTATTTTGTATTTATTTAGACATAGAGTCTCACTGAGTTCCTTAGTGCCTCACTTTTGCTGAGGCTGGCTTTGAACTCGGGATCCTCCTGTCTTAGCTTCCCCAGCTGCTGGGATTACAGGCATGTGCTACTGAACCTGGCATCTTTTCTCTTTTCTTAGTAGTCCTTGATTTCTTCCTGTCGTGCCTCTTTTAATGGGTAACTTCATCTTTTCTTTTTCTGGGGTGATTATTTCTTTTGTATAGTTATCATTTATTGAGTACATCTTAAGTTTTAAGTGTCGGTTTAGCCCTGGATGACCAAAGATGGATAAATTCTGTCCCTTTTAACAAGTGTACAATTTAGTAGGGAAAATATATGGTTAAAATGACTTCATAAGATGAGAGCTTTTTAATATATATATTATTATTTTTTTTTCTTCTCTTACCTTTGATTTCTGAGGGAAAAAATATTTTTTTCTTCCTAAAGGGGCATGTTTTCACTTGTGTTCTTTTTTTTTTTTTTAAACCTCTACCTTAAAATTTTCTATATTTATTTTTTGAGAAGGGATCTCACTGTGCCCAGGATACCCTTGAGTTTACAGTTCTTCTGCCCCAGCTGCCCAACCTGCTGGGATCACCAGCTTGCACAGCCACACTGGTTTCATTTGTGTTCTTGACCACATTCTCTCCTAGGACCCTTTTGTATCATTTCCCCTCTGGCTTAGATCTTTAATATCCTTTTCTCCCCTGGATTTGACCCCTTTGCCTATCATATAGTTTTTTTTTTCTTCTTGTAATGAAAAAAAAAAACCTGACAACTCATTATTACAACTTCTCCAAGGCTCTGCTAATGTTTCAGACTACCTTTCTCTTACTTCACTTGCAAATTTTTTTCCCAAAGAATTATTTCATGTTTTCTTTATAAAGTGCCTATTTATTTCTTAATTCTGTGGAACATGGATTCTATATGCCTTCCATTCTCTCTATCATGTATTGGAAAACTCTTAAAACACAAAATATAGTTATAAAATATTTCAGCCACCTACGTATTGGGAATGCTAAATTGAACACCCATTTTCCCAAAGTTAAGAACTATAATATACAGACCCATCTGAAGGGTTCTGTGTTACCATTCAAATTATATTATACCAGCCACTGCTAAGCCCCCATCTGGTTCTTTTCTCCTGTTCCTCAAGCATTGTTCTGAATTTGGTGTTGATCGTTACCAGTTTGTTTCTTTTCTACTGTTGTATTGCTAAACTTGATTTTATAACACCCTAAATATAGTATTGTTTATTGAAACATTTAAAACTCATGACCATCCTAACTCCTGAAACTTTGTCATCCTTGCCATTTAGAACATTAGATAATCCTGATGCTCCTGTTAACACTGTTCCTTCTGTCTTCTCCCCAAAGGTGTCCCCCAAGATGCTAACCATTGGCCACATTCTTTACCATTTATGTCATGTTTATATAGATGGTTCTCAGATCTGATGACTCCAGTATTAGTCTGTTGTCTAAACATTTCTAGTTGCCTAGACATCTGCAGGGTCTGCTGGTACCCCAAATTGAGCTTGGTATATATTACCACAAGCTAGTTTATCCTCATTTCTATTGACAGTGCTACAATTTTCCTTTGCTCAATCTATCAGAGCACTAGTGTCTTCATTGACTCTTCTCATTTGTTATCCCCAACCTGTCAGTCATTCTTGTCCCTTTGGTTTTGTCTTCACAGTTTCTTTTATCTTGATCTCTCCCCCTAGCCCTATTTCCTGTAGTCATTTGCCCAGTTTATTATAAGAGCTTCCTAGTTCATCTCTTCATATCTTTCTTTTCACATTTTAGCTTTGGCCAATGTTCTGTTGCCAGATGAACTTCTAGAATCTTCCAGTTTTGATGGTCCATGGATAATGGGATAAATGGCAAACTTTTAAAATTTTATTTATTTATTTATTTTGTTACCTGGAATTGAACCCAGGGACACTTATCCACTGAGCGATATCATATCCCCAGCCCTATTTATTTATTTATTTTTAGTTTTAATTGTAGATGAACACAGTACTTTTAAACCCAGTGCCTCACATATGCTAGGCAAGTGCTTGACCACTGAGCTACAACCCCAGCTCTATTTATTTTTATTTTGAGGCAGGAGCTTGCTAAGTTGCTTAGGGCCCTGCTAAGTTTCTGAGGCTGGTCTCTGACATGTGATCTTCCTGCCTTAGCTTCCCCAGTCACTGGGAAAACAGCCACTCTTTATAATGGACTTTTACTATTATAGTAACGTCTATTGGCCCTCCATCTTTGATTCATTTTTGCTCTACACACTCCCTACCTTATGTTCTAGTCAAATTGGATCGCTTACGTAGAAATATTACAAGTTCTTCATTTCTCAGAGCAAAGGCCATGTCTGTTCTTAGAAACTTTCTTTTACCATACTGGATTGAAGGAATCTTCTTCTCAAATAGAATCCCACTATGGTTTGTCTTACCATATTCTGGTTTTAATATATGGTGATTTTTGTGCATGGTTTCTGTACTAAACCGAAACTTCTTTTTTGTTTTATTTTGGGTACTGGGAATTGAACTCAGGATCACTCTACCGCTAAGCCATATCCCCTACCCTATTTTGTATTTTATTTAGAGATAGGGTCTCACTGAGTTGCTTAGCACCTCACTTTTGCTGAGGCTGGCTTTGAACTTGTGATCTCCTTCCTCAGACTCTAGAGCTGCTGGGATTACAGGAATGTACCACTGCACCCGGCCTAAATTGTAAATTTCTTGTGAGCAGAGCCTATGTCTTAATTTTTGTGTTCCTCACAGCTTTTTATTCTTGGCAAGTAAGGCCTTGATAAAACATCCCTAACGGTGGCTAAAATATTTAGATGTCTGTTTCAATAACAAGTATGAGAAAAGGAAGTAAGAAATTGAGCTAGGGGTTGGGGTATAGCTCAGTGGCAGAACCTGTTCTTGGCATGTGTGAGGTCCTAGATGCAATCCCCCCCCGCCAAAAAAAAGAAGAAATTGAGTGGGCTGGGGGTAAAGCTTAGTGGTAGGGCACTTGCCTACCATGCATTAGGCCCTGGGTTTCCATCCCCAGCACAGCTAGGGGCTGGGATCAGAGATAGGGGGCAAGAGATAGAAAGATTGAGCTAGTTAGGACCAAAGTATATTCATCACCAGTCAGCAAATTATTCAGTTATTCCTGCTTTGTTACTTTTATTCTTTCCAGGGTTTATTTATACAACTGTTGACTGTTGTATGCCTTAGAAACTATTAACTCTTTTAAAAAAGGTGTTTGGGTGATCAGAGGGGTATATTGTAATTGCTGTTTTTAAAAATAAAGTCTGTCTTGTTGTACTCAGTGCTTGTATTACTTACATGTAATTTCCTTTTCCAATCTCTCAACAGGCACGCTTTGTGCCCACCCCACCTCCAAATCATCTTAATTACAAGTCAGAGGGCAGGCTTAGTGAACAAGACTGGCAAGCACATTTCAAGGTCCCATGTTGTGGGGTTGATGCATCTCAACTTGAGGTACGTTGCTCTTTTCCATTTAAGTCACTTGGATGTGCTCACATGCGTTCATGGCCTAGCTAAGGTTTCTCTCACCTAATCATTCTTTCTCCCACTCTTCTGCTGTCTTTCACACTCATCCTCATGCTGTGAAACTCAGATATTTGCTTGTTTCCTAACGCTTCTTGCCTCCGAAGAAATTGTTGCAAGCAGTAGATTTAGTGGCCGTTATTTGAATATTTTGATTGTGATAAAGTACCTGCCTTCATCTGTCTCTTCACTTCTCCACCCTTCCTTATTTATATTTTCCATTATCTTTCCTTTTTTTTCCTCCCATGTAGTTCTAGGGATAGTTTACTGTTATCACTGTTTCTAGTAGTAGTACCACTGAAAGTAGTAGTAAACTTTTAGAACTGAAATAATGTACATGCAGAAAAGTGTACCAATTGTAAGTATACAGACTGATGATTTTTTTTAAAAGTATTTTTTTAGTTGTAGATAGACACAATATCTTTATTATTCTTTTTTTAATTTATTTTTACGTGGTGCTGGGGACTGAACCCAGGCCCCACGCATGCGAGGCAAGCACTCTACCACTGAGCTACATCCCCAGCCCCAGACTGATGAATTTTTACAAGGTTAATGTACCTAGAACCACCAACTAGATGGAGATAAGCAGTGTTACCTCAAAAGCTCTCCTTATACCCTTCCCCAGCCACTGGTAGGTAATTACCTACCTGAGATCTGAGTAGCTAATCATTACTCAGACCTTTAAGTCACCTGTTAAACTGGGTGTGGTGCCACACACCTGTAATCCCAGCAACCTGGGAAGCTGAGGCAGGAGATTTGCAAGTTCAAGACCAGCCTCAGCAACTTAGTGAGACCCTGCCCTAAATAAAAAGGCTGGGAATGTAGCTCAGTAATAAGGTACCATGGGTTCAATCCCAGGTACCAAAAAAAAAAAGAAAAAAAAAGTTACTTGTTAATTCTTCCTATTTTTAACTTGCTGTTAGTAGGTTTCTGACATCTTCTGGCTTTCTTAATTTTGAAAATAATATCCAAGATCATTCAAATGTGCTTTGTTTGAACACTTTTCATTTAAATATATATGTATATAAAATAATCTTTGGTTTTATGATGAAACTTAGGATTTCACTATTTTTTAGGTTTGTGAATTGCACATAAAGGAGTATCATCTATAGTATTGATTTGGTCGGTAGTAATTCTAAAGGCAATGTTATTTTTCAAATAATTTCATAAGGTATTGAGCCCTTCCCTACAACATCATTTTCTTAGTTGTCTGTGAATCTCAATCTTCGTTTTTGACAGTAATTTATTACTATGAATTTTTTTAAAACTAGGGCTCAAATTTCTCACTCCACAGTCTTTTTATAAGGAAGTAAATTAAAAATTAATATTATTTTTATAGTCGTGCAATGTTCATGGTCATATGAAAGAATGACCATGCATCTCCCCTGCCCTAGCCTATTTCTTCATCTTCATTTGAGGAAAAACATCACTGATTCTTTTTGTGTAGAAGATTTTATTATGAACTGTTGACTATAAGTTATGATAGAAAGAAGTCACTGTCACTGCTTTCATGTGAGAAAAGATTAAAATCACTCTTCTGTTTTTAAACCAAAACAGGTAAGGTAAAAATGTTTGATCTTTTGTAGACTCGAGATTCAGGCTGACCTTAGATGCTTTTGTACCTGAACCCGGATTCTAAGGATCCATCCTTTCCCTAACATTTTGTCAACTACCTTATCTACCACATCCTTCCCAGATCTTTTCATTATCAAAGGATTATGGCATTTGGATATTTCCTTTCTGTATTTCTGTGAAACCAAGCCCCTGACGTGGCTGTCAGCAGATGCTGCATCACATTGATTGTTCCAATTGGTACAGAGACAAGTGTCAACCGGAGCGGTTTCTCCCTTTAGCTGTAGAAGGGTGAAGCTTTTAGGTACTATTCCCTCATGAGGGATGTGCATGCTACTTTTTAAAGTGATTTAAACCCGTGTCTTATTCAAGCCTTACGTTAGGAGGCCCATGTTCCTCTCTTGGTCACATAATGATGTTATTAGTGCTGAACTTTTCCAAACCTCAGTGTAGGTGATTTTTTTTTTTTTTTTTGGCAGAGCAGTTATTTTTGTTCTGTGCTCTGATGTGGTGTTCCTGTGAGTAAACACCAGAGGATTTGAGATCCACGATACTTTGGCAGAAAACTATCCAAAAACTGAAGGCATGTCTGTACATCTTATTTATAACTTGAACCATGATCTTGTCCCCTGAAATCTTCAGGCTGTTCTGGCTGAGGCTTCTATATGTTGAAATGCCCAGCCCAGGCCGCGAGAGCAATCTGGCAAACGTTTTGTTGTAAATAGGAAGTAACATGTACAATTCTAACACATACTTTCACAGGGGATAAGGGACAGTGATTGAGACTGTTGAAGATGACAGCACTATGTTTTCTTCCCTCATTTGAATTCTCAGATATCCTTAAGTGCATTTTGAATTAGTTAATCCATATGCTATTAACCCAAATACATGTCCTAAGTTTTTATCAGAATAAGCAATAGATTTGATATCTCTAAAGAGGAAGACTTATAAAAGAATATAGGTGCAAAGTTGAATTTATTCCTGCGTAGACACTAAATTAGGTTCAGTAATTGGCATGCGTGTGTCATGTTTTAAATCTGAATTAAGGGCTGCTACATTCAGATTTGGCTAGATCGTCTAATAAATTGAAACACTAAGGAGAATTGTTAAATAAGCAAGTTAATTTTTCCAGGTTCCTTAAAGTTTAAATCCAGCTAGTACTCCAAAAGTTTTCACAACCATCAGATGTTACTACTCAGGAACACTTGGCTATTAAAGACAGTGTTTCATCCCTTACAAGGATGGTAATGGAAAAAAATTAGGAGCCAGTTGGAAAGCCAAGATTTAGGTGTAAATGTTAGGTGAGTTGATTTTGCAGCTGAGTACCTTCATGAGTAAAAAGGATGGTTCATATCAGAACTTATAAGAGCTACTTTTAAATCTCACTTTCTTCACTTTTCATAAAACTTCCAGAATAGTGGAATAATAGTTCATCTCTGCGTATGTATGTGTGTTTTAAAGAAGGATCAATGTTTTACTCTCCTCTCATCAAATTACATCTGTAAGTCAAGGGGAAAAAAGCAACTTAGATTATGATCTAATTATTCACAAAGGGAACACCTGAATTTGAATTATTGTTAGTTTTACTTTTTCTCTCTTTTCTTTATAGTTAGTCAAAAAAATTTTCCCTTTAACTTCACATAGAAAATGAAACTTAATACAATAAAACAGGGATGGCAGGTTTCACAAGGGAAAAAGGCTGCTGTCAACTTTTTTCCTCAGGAATATGGAAATTTGGATGGATTATCTGTTCAGAGGAGGTTTCCTTTATTAATTCTTTCTCTTTTTTTTTCCACTTAAGACATCTGTTAACATTTCACACAGCCCAACAGATGTTGCAAAGCAAGTCCCATACTTTGTTCTCAAGAAAAATGACATTTCCTCAATTGGTTGCCCCACCTCTGTGACTGAGTCCAGCCTGCTGCTTCTGCATAATTTGCATATATTAAGTTATATACCTTAATGCATTACAAATTTGAGTTTCGGCATTATTTTTATATGGCAAAATCTAGTTTGATTAGAAACTAGTTTACATATTGCTCTAGAGTTGAGAGAGGGGAAAACATAATTAAAATTTCCTTTCAGAATGGCAACCTAATTCCACATACAGAAGGGAAGTTCACATTTTTTCCTATAAAATAAGTGAATTACAAAAGCTTGAGTTGTTTGCCATAAGGAAGTGCTGATTGTCATGTGATGTGGAGCGTCATTTTTATTATTTTGGCAAGAACAGGGACAGTTTTGTCTTGACAAGCCATTAGATGAATACCAGCGTGTGTCACATGAAAAACCACTGATCTTTAACCCAGCTCTGTACTTAACCAAGCCTTGAAAATGAATAGTGAATAAAAGGAAGAGCAAAGGCCAGTTTACTGTCATTACAGATTACAGAATCTGTTAACAGCTGCTGAACTGAACCCAGGGAATTACAGGTATTGTCCTGTAAACCAGCAGAAGTCCTGGAGATGATTCTTAAATTGTGTACACAAACTATACATTTATTTTATATTTGCTCCGGATTTACATTGTTGGAAACATAGCTAGAAAAAAAAATTCCTTGAGTACTTTCTCAGTGTAGTGCATGTGTGCCTTTATCACAAAACCATATGTATTTACAAAGAACAGTCTCAGTGAAGTTTTTCTGCTCCCAGTTATAGAACTTAATTTAAGAAAGCAAGGGACTTTTAAGGAACAAAATAGAAAGTATGCACGGTTAAAACACTTAAAACCAAAACAGAACAAAATGCACCCCACAAATATTTATGCAAAGCAAGATCTTTTCACTTGCTTCTTTTCATATGGTGGCTGGTTTTTGCATCAACATGTGATTTATTTATTTATATATTTGTTTTATTTATTCATTTTTAGAAGATGGAAGAAAAGGTCTAAAACCCACCTCAGTACCCAAATATTGAAAAGATCAGTAACATTTTAAACAGTCAGTTGTGGGAATTACGGCTTACAGAGCTAACAAGAAAGAACACACTTTCTTACTCTGCTGGTGGGATTGCATCCTGCCTCCCTATAGTCTTGTTATCCCACACTAACTGAAATGCAAATTCTTTGGAACTAATTGGATCTCATTGAAGGTACATGCACAGTGTGTAGTTAGTTACATGCAAAAAGGTTTTAAAAAATAAAAATTTCCCGTAATTACAACTTTTAATTACTATTAGAATCTATAGTACGGTTTAGTATATATATGTCTTGACTTTTTAACAGATTACTAAAAAACAAACATGACTTACAAAATGCTTGATAAAGTGCCCGTTCAAAAGTTACAGAAAAAAAATGTTTAATTGCAGCAATCTGTAAATTGGATTTTATTAAACTCCTCTGAAAATGTTTTTTTTTCCTTTCAAGTTTAGAATTTAGTATCTTAGGGCCAATATACTCTACTGACAGCATGTTAAAAGTGCAGTCCTTTTCTTGGAACATTTTAAAGTTAAAATATTATAAGCATCAGAAATCACTTTCAAAAGTTGAACCTACTTTACCATTGTAGAAGGTATTGAGTTTCTTACTTTGTGTATTTGTGCTACAGATTGTGATGAGGGGATATGGTCACATTCTCACAATATCTTTAATAATTTTGATGTCATTAGACCTACTTGATGTACTACTTATTTCACATGGTCCATCTCTAACTATCAGGAAATCTGAGAAAGCTAACACATGGCCTATGGTACTTGTGGTCTTTTAACCTGAAATACCTGGATGGACTCAGGGCAGCAGACAGCAATCATTGTGGAAGTGACATCTACTTCATTCCCCTAGTTTTAAATAACTTTGTTATACAAATGATTCCAGATAGTTACTCCCTAATTTCCAGAATAAATAACCAATGAAAAGACTCAAGACATCTTTGTGCTTTGTAGGTTTTTTGGGGGGGTGGGGTTGGGTGGGGTGAGAGTTCAAGTCTCTCTCCCTTGCTAGAGAAAATTATACTAAGATCAAGGATTCTATACTTCATATTCTATATGGAAGTGAATGGAAAGTTCATATAATGTATTTTGGGCATTTCTAGAGGGGTCAAATTTGTATTTTCCAAAACTTACTTAAAAGAAGATTTATAAACTTAAAATCTACAAAAGCACAACATGTTTTATCTTACATATTCATTTATGGGTAAATCTTTGGGTTGTCTCTTATTAAAACTTGTCCTCTAAACTAGTCTTATCAACTAGTGAAGATTTTGTTTGACCAAATCAGTTTAGCAGATGAAGTCTCATATATTTGCTGTGAACATATTTTTTAAACCTTAGGAAGATATCCTGGTGTCTTAAAGGCGTGGCTCTGGCAGTAAAGTCTAGGTAATAGTTATATTGCAGACCTGTCCAGCTAGAGCAGCCTTAGACCCTGCCTGCTATCTAAAGAGCTCAGTTTGCCTACTGTGGGTAGCATTTTGTCAGAAGACTGCTGGCTGGGCATACCAGATTTGGATGTATTAGCTAGTCAGCCTAATAACCCTGTACAGACTGTATTGATTTTCTAGGAGAGAGTTTATGAACTAAATAAACTTGGGGTTGGTGTCTTAATAAACTGCTTCTCTCAGTCTGTCACATTTAGTTACGGAGCTGTGCAGTTTAGGGGGAAAAAAGGCTAATTCTGTTACAGATTGTTCACAGCAGGGTCTCCAAATTAGCCCTTTGTTTTGTAATGCCACCTTGCTTGGGCTCGCTTTGAGCACATTTCTCAGTTTTGCCCTAATGAGTTGCAACACTGATAATGTGGCTGATGATCTTTCATTGATTTCACTATCACTTGCTTGTCTGGTAATTGATCCGTTGCTGAGCCTCTAGTTAATTATATCGGCTTTGACATGGCCCGGTCCACGGGGAATTTCAAGTCTTGCAGAATAACAGTTTTAATAAAAGAGTCTATTACTGCAGGTGCTTGCTGCTGCATGCCAGTTGATTTTTGTGTTGTTAGTGTGTGTGTGTGTGTGTGTGTGTGTGTGTGTGTAGGATACCTGGAAAGAAGAGGATTGCAGGACTGAAAGAAAAAAGAGGTGGGGGCTGGCAAAAGAGGAAGAGGGAGTGAAGGAGAGGAGGAAGGAGGGGGAGAGGCAAGGAGAGAGGGAGAGTGAGAGCGAGAGGCGAGAGAACACGCAGGCAAAGCGATACAACAGAGCATGAGTGGAGCGAGGAGGAAGCTTGCTATTGACAGTGTCCTTAAGCCTCCCACAAATAACAGCCATTAGTGGGAAGGTCAGGAGCTGAGCAGGCAGCTTGACTGAGGCACTGAGTGCCACTTCAGGAATCAAGAGGCTAGCAAATTTTAGAGGGAGTTTAAGTGGGTAATAGCTAGCAGTAAAGGTACAGTCACCGTTGACAATTGACTCATAGGGGCTTTTCCCGTCTCCCCCCTGAAGAATATTTTTATTGACCACAGGTGGACTTAATATATTTTAAGGCAACAATTCTTTGGGTTCTTGTTTGTTTCCTCTCAGATATTGAATTTGCTTCTTTTGAGACTTTTTTGTGCTTAATGGTGGTGAACTGGAGGGAAGTTTAACAGAAAAGCTTTCAGGAGATGTCGGTTCTAGAGGAGAAGGCACATTTGTGTCAACATAGTGTACGTTTTCTCATCTTTTCTCATTGTCCACTAATGACACAGAGCTGCCATTGAAGCTCTTTTCTGTTTCTTTTGTTGTTTCCAAGAGTAAGGTTTATTGTTATTCTTTAGTTAAGAAGGAGCAAGGAGAGTGGTACATTTGTCCTCGATATTTGTAGGTGGTTGAAGATTAATGTTCCTTACATTTTAAGTTTAGGAGGGATGGCTTTTTCCTGCTGACTACTTTTATGAGATGGCATGAATTTAGCTTTCCATTTTGAAGTTAACAATGTTTATGTACAGTGCATTTTGCTCAGTTTTGCTTTTCCATAAATAAGGCCGATAAATATTACCTAATAAATAGATGTTTTGTTTTAAAACTGGTTTAATTAAAAATACAACTTGCTATCAAGGCTATATTTCATAAGGCAGAAAAAATTTAGAATTTTCCATAGAAATTTTGAATGAAAAATAGAGTTTTTATATTTATTAGTTTTTACAGGCTTCTTTTCTTCCCTCTCTTTCTTTTTTATGATTTGAAAGGATGTTGTAGATGCTTCATTCAGGAAGTTTAATAAAGAATTTTTGTTCTACTTTTGAGCTTTAAGGTACACTTTTTTCCTCTGCCATTCAGTTTCTCATTACTTCATCTCCAGTTTAGTAATTGATGGCCTGAGGTACAAAATAGCAAGTAGTATATATTTATTTTGCAAATATTTATTGTCCATTTCATGTTAAACTGCTAGGTTTACTTGTTTACTCTTTAGAGTGTAAGGTCAAGTCTGTATGTATGTTATTTTCTCCATGAGTTTTTATGTGGTTATAAATAGCCCAGCACATACTATCTGACTTCAGATAGCATTTAGACAACAACTGAGCCAACTTTACATTCTCTTCTAGCAGAATATTTTACTTTCTTCCAGTATAATTAAAAAAAAAAACATACTTACATATCACAGTTTTAGAAATGTTAAAGCAAGGACTGGTGTTGTATATTGCATGTTATGTCAAAAAGCATTGTTGGGGAAAATTGGAGGGGAAGGGCCCCAGCTTCCCCTCACCCTGTGCACAGTGATCCTGGCACTGCTTGGAGTGTGCCTCAGTGTGTATGTATCTGTGTGTCTGGAGGGGTTAGTGCAGGGTGTCATTTGGTGCCTGACAGTGGAACAGTGCAGTTGACTCTTAGCTCTGCTATCCAATGACATGCAGTGGCTGAGGGTTTGAAGCTGATGGTTGGGTCTCCAGTGCTGCCTGCACACCTGACAGGCAGCTGTTAAGCTGAGCAAAGGCAAGCTTGGGGAGTCGCAATCTATGCATAAATGATAGGGATATCTGTGCAGAAGGTGCGAAGGAAGCTCTGACCCCCTCCCTCCCCCAAATCTTCCCCTTCCCAAATGAAATGCACAGTTCAGGCAGCTTCTTAACTACACTACACTCCTGCTACTGGCTGCCAAGAGGCTCAAAAAATCCACCTTCACTTTTCAGTCAGAAGAGGCAGAAGTGGATGTGAGAGAAAGAGAGACACAGAGAGACAGAGAGCCAAAGAGGGCAAGAGACTTGACTTTAAGAGACTCCTGTACTGACAACTCCATGCAGTTCGGAACCAGAACGACTCCGGCTGAACCAGGGTTCATGGGGACATGGCAAAACGCTGATACTAACCTCTTATTCAGAATGTCCCAACAGGTAAGTTACTTTCATTTTTTTTTTTTTTAAGAAACCTCGAATTGTCTTGTGCACTTTTGTTACTGGTATTTTTCTTTCATGTTTGTTAAAAATGTGATCACTTCATAGTTAGGCTTTGTTTTGTCATAACTGTTATTGGAATGTGCAGCGTTACTTCATGGTTTCCCAAAGGGCTCCTTAAAAGAAAAAGGGGAAAGGATACTGAAGTAAAAGAAAGCCAAGGCATTGGTTGCAAAGTTTCACAGTACAGCCTGGGTCATGCGAAGACTTAATTTTATTTCTTTGTTTTCTGTTAAAAAAAAAAGAAAAAGCCACCACCCAACAAATGTGTCTTTCTATCTCTACGAATCACTCGGTCAAAGTGCCTGCTATCTCGGAGTCGTTTCTGCAACCAAACAGTCATAAAATCTAGGGGCCCCTCACACTGCCCGACTGACTTCTTGTGGCTGGATTCAGACCTGCGGGGAGAGAGGAGGCGGTGCGGGCTTCGCTGCCGCGCCGAGGGTCAGCGCCGAGGGTCGCTGAGGATGGCTCATGGTGGGCTGCGCCGGCTGGTGCTCCAGTGCCGGTCGCCTGCCCTGCGCTTGCCCCGCGCTCCCAGCGCCACCCGGCTCGGGCTCCCGCGCGGCTCCTGCTCCGCACGCCCGCCCGCCCGCCGCTCGCCTCGCCTGCCCGCCCGCCGGCGCACTCACACTCGGGCGCAGCCTCGGCGTCCTCCCCAGAGCCGCTCCTCCGTCCGGGCCGCACCGGAGGCAGCTCGGCGTGCTCTCTGCCCGGAGAGCCGCTGTGTGAGCGCGAGGCCAGCGGGAACTGATAATTAATCACCGGCCGGCAGCTCGTACCATGCGCTCCGTGATACGCGCCCTGCGCGCCCGGCTCCTCTTGCACAATTGCTGGCTCTGCGGCTCCGCGGGGGAGCGAGGGTAAGAGGAAGCGAAGGGGAAACAACCCAGAAACTTTCATCTTGGACTGTGCTCAAGTGAGGGAGGGAAGTTCCCTGGTGCCTCCCTCCTTAGACACGTCTTGCTTTTTCAAAAGCCTACACCAAACCCACACAAAGCAAGAGTTAGTTTATCATCCACACCGCACGAAAGTAGTCCTGACACATACACTGGGATTTTAAGTAGATGGCGACGCTTAAGAAATTGATGGTTCACCCATTTTGTAACTGCTTTTTAAATGACCTCTTTTGTATGTAAGAGTTCACAGAAATTAAATAGTTTGAGTTAGATTTTTTTTTGAAATTGTTGATTGAAGAAAGAAAGAAAATAATTTGTAAACTGCCACGAGTTTAAAATGCATTTGCCAAAGATAGAACATATAGCCAAGTCTTGCAGGATTTCAGATGGCAAACATTTTTATCTCAGAGTTCTAGATAGGATAAATGGATGTGAATAAGGTGTATTTTGACATCCTGTAGAGGGACCCTGATTACTGCTGATACAGTAAGCTGGGATTTAAATACAATCAACATAAACCCAATAAGCAACTCTTTATGTGCCATTTCCCATTCTTGCAAGTGAAAAGTTCATTTCCTTACAGAGATGCTCCTTGTCAGTACAGCATGCTTTGAGAGAGGTGTTTTTCTGCCGCACATTCCTGCCTGGGTGGCTCTCTTGTGGTTGGAACACACTGTGTTTTCACTAACCTTAGAACCAAATAACTTGTGCCACACTTTTAAAATTAGATGTCACCTTCAGGGTTTTCCTTAAGTTAGTGGAGGTTCTGTGTGTGTGCGGGGGTGTGTGTGTGTGTGTGTGTGTGTGTGTGTGTATGTTTTGGAGGGGAAGATTGGTTTTGGTCTCCCTCTAGCTAGAAAAGAGTTAATAAAACCAGATAGAGATAATGATCAATTGATAAATGGCTATTGAACCACATAGATGGTGTTAGATTGCTTCTTTGGCACTAGCCCATTTTCAAGTAGATTTGAATCTAAGGAGATTTTAAGTCATGCAAAACATTTTACTAAAAAATAAACAAAAGTAAATTATACAAATGATGGGTCAAAAGTAGGAAAATATATCTTTTAGAGAAACTTGTACAACTAAGCTGTCATGATGTCGTTGATCCAGCTGTTTCTGTGTGGGCATACAAAAATCTGTTTTGTGTGTACCTGTATGAAGTATGTGTAATAGTGAGCATTGGTGACTATATGAAAATAATCAGATTATAGGGTAGTAATTTATGCTTAATGATGCCATTTAAAACTAATATTAATTATACTATTTATGAAGGTTGAAAAATCACAATTTAAAAAATGTATTATTACTTAACTATTTTTAATATGTTTTCTTTATTATCTTTTTTTAAATTTCTATGTAGCTAGCGATTCCCCCTCTCCCTTTTTTTCCTGTCATGGTTACTAAATATTTACCTTCTGTGCATTTTTGGAAAGCACGTAAAAGAGGGTATGAGTAACATGTGTATGTGTATGTTTTTCTCCTTCAGGATGACATTTCGGTTTGTATAAATATTGTGTAAACTTAAATTCAAACTATGTATATATCTAAGTCTGTGTGGTGTACATATTTAATGTTTGTTTTCCTTACCTATAGTTCATCAGCAGTGCTGATTCAGCATGAGTGTGTGTGTGTGTGTATGTGTCTCTGTGTGTGTGTGTGTAAGAGACACTATTGAAGTCAACAATTTTGAGAAATATTAGTTCAATATCCGTATTAAGCCAATTTTTGTTACAGGAAAAAGTTTGTTCAATTTAATCAAGTATGCAAGATTTTGTATATCTCATTTCTAAGGCATAATAGGGTTTTTCTAGATGATTTTAATTTCTGAGTAAAAATTTATTCATCTCATAAAATGAATAAAATTTATTTGGCACATTTTTATTTCCAAATTTCATAGTAGAAAAACTAATATTTCTCTTATTATTTCTTTAAACATTAGAAAAGACTGATGGGTAGGGCTATTATGAAATGTTTAAAAACTTTTAGTATTTAAGTAGAGAAAAAATTGTGGGAAATGTGTCTTATGATAAATTGGGAAGCAGGGATGTAAAAATCTTTATCCTTTATTTAATATGTGCAAAGTTGGATTTCCTTAAATATAAATCTTCCATTCTGTCTAATGCTAAGAAAAAGACATCACAGTCAAAAATCAGTTTAGATTTGGTGGGATTAATTATGTTCCCTAAAGTTTGAGATGTGACTCTTTGACTCCATTTTCCTTTCTACATTTTCCTCCTTCCAACATTGAAGCTTAATTTTCTTTTTTTAAAAAATCATTTCTTTATATTCAGATGAATATTTGAGAACCTTGAAGGGCATAACTATTGACTTTTGTAAAGGAGTTCTTGGGTCAGTTTGATCAGTGAGTGACAGGTCAAGAATGACCAGAAACCTTTCACTCTTCTCTGCTCATTTCCTATAGCCCAGAACCTTATTTTGCCCAGTATATGCTCATGAGATACTGTTAAAATTAAGGCCTGCTTTTGGAAAGTTCAAGAACATGAATATATATGTGTATATAATATATGTATATATATTAGGCTTTAAAAGATGATTTTCCAATTTGTTATGTATTTTTTATAGTTTACAGAAATAGCAAATAAAATTCTTTTAATGAACTCAAGAGATGGAATAATTTAAATTCTTAAGTCTTTTTAGAGAAACAAAACCATACAGGTAAATGACTATAGTCCTATAGTCCACATTTCACAAATTACTAGAGGCATTTATCTTTTAATATTGGTAAAGTATATTTAACCTGTTTCAAATAAAATGTAGATCCCTTAATAAGGTCTCCTTTCAGACTCAAGTGAAATACTAAGAATTATAAATGACTCTGTGCATCATTATGTAGTAATTTAGGATTCACCCAATGATGTAACAAAATTAACAACATAATTTCATTGTGAAACTGTGTCTTATTAAAGAACAACTGTCTGACATTCTCTTACAGTTGCTTTATTTAACTTCATGCAAATATTATTAGTAGTGACATTTTTCTATTGTGCATTAGATTCTCTCATTAGCATGATGTGTTAGTTATCACCAGAGAAATCATTTCCTAGATAGGTGAGGGGCAAACCAAGAAAGCTAAAAATTAAATCAGCGATTTATATTAATAACAGAGCATCTGCTCACCAGAGATATGACAGCAAAGTAAACTTTCTTGCTAGTATAAAATCTAGCATTTTTCAAAGAAATGATAAATAAAATATATTATAAGAAATATATAACAACATTGCTGGAATTCATTAAAAGCATGCTCAATATGAATTCTTCTCCCAATAGTCTTTTAGTTCTTTCAATTCATAAAGACAAAAGTACAGTCTCAGTTTGTGGGTTTTATATTTTAAAATAAAAATGATGTTGTTGTTTTTTTCTGACTTCCTGCCCCTCGAGAAATAATTTGACTTTAAGTACTAACAATTTAAAAGGCACATATACGGTATTTCTTGTAAGTCAGATGCTTAATTGTGATGGTGGTTTGATTCTTTACAGTTCATACAATACATTTTCATTCTAAACCATATCCCACTCAAATAGACATCTCCTTTAACATAGAATGAATATTCTTGTTTAATAAGAGCCCTGAGTAAAGCAGTTGATAGTTAATGGTCTTTGAAAATGACTTTCATTGCCAGGCATCTTCCATCCCTAGGTTTCTTTCGGCAATTTTTCTCTCCTCCTCTTTTATTTCCCTCCTTACAGTTGGTGTATTTTGGTAATCATGTCTTGCTTTAAAAAAAAAATGACCAACCTTATGATCTCTGTGCTAAAATAAATATTTATATTAGGAGGCGTACAATTTTAGCCTGTTGAATTATTAGGCTTCCACCCTTGATTTAGGTTTCCCTCTAGTTTGAGTGCTAATATGTTTTATTTTGAAGTTTAAACACTAGACATTTATTTAAATATAATTCTTAACATCCATTTTGATAATATAACACCAAAATAAGAATATTTAGGTATTTGTTAAAGTGGAAATTATAGCCTGGAGACAGGTACTTATGTTTTGGCCTGTACTTTGCAAGTCTATGG